ATAACTCGTATTTTCATTATCATTTTGTTTTAAAAATTTGGAAATTTCCTTCTTAATCTTGTCTCTGACCTATCTATCATTCAGCATAAGTTTATTTAGATTCCATGTTTTTGTATGAGTCTGCAGATTCCTGTTACTGAGTTCAACTTTTATTCCATCATGGTCTGAGAAGATGCATGGAATAATTTCTATTCTTTTAATTTGCTGAGATTATACTTATGACCTAAGATGTGGTCAATTTTGGAGTATGTTCCATGGACTGATGAGAAAAATGTGTATTCAGTTTTGTTGGAATGAAATGTTCTGTAGATGTCTGTTAAATCCATAAGTTGAATAGTTAAATTTAAATCTAAAATTTCCTTGCTAAGCTTTTTTTTGGAGGATCTATCCAACACTGCTAAAGAAGGTTAAAATCTCCGACTATGATGGAGCTGGGAGAGATCAAGTTGCTCATGCCTGTTAGAGTATCTCTTATAAACTGAAGTGAATTCTGGTTGGGTGCATAGATATTGATACTGAGATCTCATGATATTGAGTATTACCCTGAACAAATATAAAATGGCCATCCTTGTCCTTGCTTACTTTTGTTGGTTTAAAACCTATTGTATCTGCAAATAAAATTGCAACACCTGCTTTTTTCTGCTTTCCATTTGCCAGGAATATAGATGACCATCCCTTCACCCTGAGTCTGTATTTATCTTTTAAGGTAAGATGAGATCCTTGTATACAGCAGATGTGCGGTCTGAGTTTCTGTATCCAACCAGCCAATCTGTGCCTCTTTAGAGGACAATTTAAGCCATTCACATTGATAGAAATTATTGATAAGCTTGGTAAAATTTGGGGTATTGAGTTGCTTAAAAGTCCAGTGGATATTTTTAATCCTTTCACCAGTTGGAATTTGATCAAAAGTTTCTGTATACAGCAGAATTCTGTATACAGATGCTGTATACAAGGATCTTTTGATTAAAAGATACAGCAGATGTCCGGTTTGAGTTTCTGTATCCAACCAGTCAATCTGTGTCTCTTTAGAGGACAATTTAAGCCATTCATATTGATTGAAATTATTGATAAGCCTGGTAAAATTTTGGATATCAAGTTGCCTGAAAGTCCAGTGGATATTTTTAATCCTTTTGATGTTGGAATTTGATCAAAGGTTTCTGAGTGAGTTTACTTTTGTGGTGGAGGATTGCACTGGTCATTATGGAGGATAGGTCTGAGAATTTCCTGGAGAGCTTGTTTAGTTATGGAAAATTTCTTCAACATGTAGATGTCATTAAAGTATTTAATTTTTCCATCATAGAAGAAACTCAGTTTAGCTGGATACAGGATCCTGGGTTGAAAGTTGTTTTGTTTTAGGAGATTAAAAGTTGATGACCACCCTCTTCTGGCCTGAAAGTTTTCAGCAGAGAGATCTACAATCATTCTAATATTCTTTCCCTTGTAGGTTATGGTTTTCTTACATCTAATTTTTTGTAGGAAATATGTAAGAGTGATTATATGTTTTTGTCCCCCCCGCCCCATATAAAGAATTCTTTCTAAGTGGATTATAGATGTAGTGAGTGGACTGTAGAGGGAAAATGGTACAGATTCTGGAAACAAGGAGAAAAATCTCCTGACTTTACCATAAGGAAAGATTCTAAAATAGAAAACAATTACCTATGCATACACGTGCTAACAGTATTGGAAAAATAATAATAAGCACATGTTAAAATTAAGAGATTCTTTAATAGAACATGTTATTAACAGATAAAATAAGGAATACAGCTGTTAATAAAAAATATATATAAATAAGCAAAAGATTTGTATAGGTTTTATTTTTTTTACAAGAGGATATCCTATCCAAATTTCTAGTGAATATGAAAATTTGCTCTACTTTCTAGTAATGACATATAATATTTAAAACTACTACATAGTTCCACTGTATACTGACCAGAATGGTTAAAATGAAAATGATTAAGCTGTGAAAAATATGTGGAATAACTGGAATCTTTATACACAGGTGGCAAAAAGGTAAATTTGTAAAATAATTTATTTTTATTTTATTTTGTTTTTTTGTAGAGACAGAGTTTCACTTTATCGCCTTCAGTAGAGTGTTGTGGCATCACACAGCTCACAGCAACCTCCAACTCCTGGGCCTAGGAGATTATCCTGCCTCAGCCTCACAAGTAGCTGGCAATACAAGCACCTGCCACAAGGCCCAGCTATTTTTTGTTGCAGTTTGACAGAGGATGGGTTTGAACCCGCCTCCCTAGGTATATGGGGCCAGCATCCTACTCACTGAGCCACAAGCACTGCCCCATGTAAAATAATTTTTAAACCTGGCAGTATTTTTAAGAGCTAATCACATCTATACTTATGACCCTCATACTCTTCTCTTAAGTAAGGATTCATCAAAAGCATTACGTGTTTTCTCCTAAAGATATATGCCTCAATTATCACAAATGTACTCTGTATAACAGTCAATAATTGATTATCAATATTAAACGTACCTTAATAGTAGAATGAATAGGGTGTGAAGAGAAGAGAGAACTCATGAACAGTTGGTGGGACTGCAAGCTGGTATTGCCTCTATGGAAAGAAGTATGGAGATTCCTCAAGGAACTAAAACGTAAATTTACCATTTGACCCTGCAATCCCATTGCTATGTATTTACTCAAAAGAAAGAGTCATTTCACCATGAAGATATTTATAGTCAAATGTTTATAGCATTGCAATTCACAATCTCAAA